GCCTAGATGGCCCTCCCGCAGCCTGGAATGCCTCCCCTCAGACTAAAAGGCCCTCCCTCAGCCTGGAAGGCCCTTTCCCCAGGAGCCCCTGCTTCCCTTCAGGAGTGGCTTCCAGGCACCATGCTGGCCCTCAGCCCAGTTGGGGGTTCCCTCCTCTCCGAGGATGCCCTTTATTCCACACCTTCCATATCAGGCTGAAACGGCTGCCTTCAAGTGTCCCCTACAGCAGGCTGGGAGCTCAAGGGTGGCCGGGGGGCTCTGTCCTCTTGGTATCCACGGTTCCTGGGATGGGCTGGCACACACAGCTGCTGCGTAGCTGAACTGAACTATGTGGGTCCAAGAATGTCAGTCTCAGCCATGATGGAATGGCAAGCGGGGCAGAGGGCAGAGACCCCAGGCTCCTCTTTCAGAGGCATTTCCCAGCTCCTGGGACCCACTGCAGATGAATCACCCACTCCGCTGATTCAAGAAGCTGATCTCAGGGTCAGGTTTTGGTCATTTTAATTGTAAAAACCAAGACTTTTCTATAAATAAGACCGCTGTGTAAAATACGATTCACCCTTCTACTAAAACCCTTCTCCCCACACTCAAAAAGAATAAAAAAGCCAGCAGATCCGAGTATAAATCAGCATGCGGTCCCTGATGAGAAGTTAACTGGCAGGTTCAGCCCCTGCTGCCATGGGCCCACCGGGCAGGCACACTCCTGGCCAGGGCTCCCCACAGATCTGTGACACCCAAACAGCTGCCCAGGATATGGCCACGTGGAGGCTCAAGTGCCTGGCGACTGAGTGGGACAGAAAGCACTGACAGAGGCTGTCCGGACCCTCTGGCCAAGCTGGGCACATGAGCTGGGGGTCCATGAGATGGAGTGGTTTGTTCAGCCTGGGGTCAGGTTGGGCACAGGTGATGGGGGGAGGTCACTGCCTCCCCAGAAGACAAGCAGAGAAGTAGCCAGTATCCCATGAGAGGTGAGGCTCCTTCCTAGGGCCATTTTTGTCATGGCCACTAAACACAAGGACAGTGGACACTTCACAGGAATGGGCCCCGGGAGACTGGGCAGAGCAGCCCGGGAGAGGGAAGCTGGCCACCCTCCTCTCATGCTGCCTCATCCCCTGCCTCCCCTACACACCCTGGACTCAGACACGGCTCAGCAAATTCACACACTGGGCATGGCTCAGAAAACCAGGACACAGGATGAAGACAGGCCACCCTCTCCTTGGGAGACCAGGGTCTGCGTGGCGCAGGGGCCAGGGCGGGGGACAGTGTCAGGAGCACTTCCAGACACACACGGCCAGGGTCCCTCCAAAGTACAGGTAGAGCAGGTTCTTCACCTCGTGCGTGATCTCAAACCCGAAGCCTTCGCCGATGACCACGTGCCACGAGGAGCCGAACTTCTTGTCCATGGTCTCCTTGATCATCTTGGCGGCGCTCTGGAACAGAGAAGGCTGTTCTCACAGAGAGGCTTGAGGGGAGAGGGCGCCAGGGAGCAGGAGCTGTGACCACAGAGGCCCGTGTCCCGCTCCTGCACACAGAACCTTCAGGAAGGGTTTCCACGCAGGGGTCACCGGCTCCTGGCTACCCCGGGAAGGAAAACAGATGTCAGCCTGGGGGATGTCTTAGGGGACGGCCTGGGCTTGGGTTCTGACTGGCCCGTTCCTGTATACCAATGTCCTGTCTGTGAATAAGAGAAGTGGGGCATGGGCTGTTCTCAGGCTGAGTTATGTGGTCGCTCTGAGCACTCTGCTCTTGTACCACCACTGCCAAGTGTCGGCTTTACCGTCAGCTGAGAAAAGGCTCTGCTCTCCCTAGAGGGCTCTGGAGAGGCAGCTGCTTCCTGCAGCCATGGCCCCAAGGCTGGTGCCCAGCTCTCCCTGGGCCAGCTCTTCCCCAAAGAGAAGAGGGCTGGGGGAGGGCACAGGAACCCCCTTGTGGGGTGACTCTGTGCCTGGGCACCTGGCGTGTGTCAGCCATGCCCTTCCCCATGGGCTCATCTACTTGGGGTCTTAGGAAGCACACAGCATCTCTCTCAGGGAGTCATGCCACCACCAGCCCAGGGAGTGGGGTGCCACTCCACTGAACAGACCTGGGAAAAGGCTTTCCAGGGCCAGAGCTGGGAAGGGTTGAAGAAAGGGCAGGAACTGGGCCTGGCTGGCCCACCCTGGGCTCACATGGAGCCCCCACTGTGGCCATGACCTTGACTTCTTCCTTGAGCCCTACCACACGCATGGTGACCTACTGGCTGTCCCCCGGCACCAGGAGCAGTGCCTGCAGACACATGAGCTTCAGGATGGATGATGATGGATGAATGGATGCCTGGCGGGCCACTGCTCACCGTGGGGAGGGAGCCGAAGGAAGAGGGGCCCCATCAGCAGCCTTGTGAGTTGAGGACCCCACGGAGGCCTGGCCCTTCTCCCTCTCAGAATAGACAAGGCCATGAGTGCAGGGGTCAGCGCCAGCCTCTCCCCTCACCGGCCCAGCCCCAGCCTGTGGGTGCTTTCTGGGAGCGTCCTGGCTTAGTCCCTTTAGGCCTCTCTGGCGCTGGCTGCAGAGACGGGCCACTCAGTCACCCCCAGGGGTCACCAGAGACACGAGGGGCCGCCTGCACTGATGGCAATACCTCGTTGTTGTTGGAGAATTTCTCACAGGCTGTGACACAAAGCTCCATGGTCTCCACTCGCATCTCCTCTGGCATGTCCGAGTGCTAGAGACAGGGCGGGGTGACAAACAGAGAGAGGCTTAGCCTGTCACCTGGCCTCCCTGGCTGGCCTCTCTTGTCCCAAGCTTAAGGCGTGGACACTGGATGGCTGCACATCTTTGGGCAGAGCCTGCTGCCTGTCACAGAGGCGACCTGTCTCCTGACTACGGGCAGGCAGCTGGGGCTGAGGGCGTGGAAGCAGGTTCAGGGGATGGTCTCGTCAGCACCATGCTCAGGCCAAAGTCGCGGGACAGTAGCCCTCCCAGAGACGGAGGGTGCCCACCATGGAAATGGTCCCCAGCACTCAGACCACTGACTGCACCCCAGAGGCACACCACTCAGGGGACTGTGTGGCCGCTGTGGAGGGCTCCTGCCTCTCCCTGGTCTCAGACTGTTCTCCTCAGTCCTGTCTCTGGGACCCTTCTTCCTCCCGACTGCCCATGGGCTGGTTGAGTCCATCTGTCCCTCCCTGCAGCCAACATATCCTGCCTATTGTTCTTGAGCCTCCCACGTGGGGTGGGCTCACAGGGTCATCTCCGGCTTGACCACCTAACTTGGGCTCTGGGTCCTGTCCGACCGACCGCCTGACATCCTCACTCGAGGTCTGGAAGCCCCACACGCCATGTCCCCTATACTTTCCCTCTCGGTCGCGGACACCACTTCTCTCCTGCACTTATCCTCGGATCTCGTTCCCTTGCACCTGCGTGCGATCTACCTTCACCATCTGGCCTGAGTCTGACTTGCGATCTCTACTGCCGTGACCTGGACACAGTCACCTGCATCCCTGGCCCCCTGAAGGAGCGTCCTCTCTTGTGTCCCCCTTCCACTCTGGCGCTCTAAATTCAGTCTCTGACAGCTGGAGCAAACATGTGAACCAACAAAACGTCACATCGCCCCTCTGCTGCAGGCCTCCGCTAGTTTCTCCTTGAATCCAGGATGGATGCATGCCCTCCCCAAGGCTGTCAGTGCTGCGGGGTCACTGCCTCCTCCCTCTGTCCTGGCCACACTGGCCCCTCCGTGGCTCTGACGTGCTAAGCTCCTTTCTACTCTGCCTGCTGTTTCTCCGGGATCTGTGCAAGGTTTCCTCCTCACTTTTTTCAGTTTTCCGATCAGACACCTTTCCAGAAGTGGAGTGTTGGGACTTACACTGATTTGACTTTTCTTTATAGCCTTTAGGACTGGACTGGGGTTATTGAACAGGTCTCTCCTGTAGGCCAGGCCTTTGTCTGCCTTACTCTCCACTATGTCCACGGTGCCTAAGCAGAGTCCAACACACAGTAGGTGGTCTAAGGAAACACTTGTTGAATGAATGGATGGATGAAAGAATGAATCACTGCTGACTCCTAGAAGTCTAGATCTGAGCTGGCAGAGTCCAGCATGTCCTCCTGCTGTCCGGGGGGTGGGCCATGTGCCCAGCAGGCCACCTGCCTCCCTCCTCGGGGCTTACCCTGACCAGAGGGAAGGTCTGCAGACGCTTATAGTCAGCCTCGTCTTTCTTCCCTTCAGCTTCTCCCATGGTCCTTCCACCGGGGCCACTGGCGAGGGGGCGGGCTCTCAGGAGGTGTGGAGACTGGCAGTTAGGGCACGGCCAGGAGACTCAGGGTGGCCCTGCCAACTTGGTGGGAGCAGAAAATGTTCTCCCCCACGGGGTGCTGCAGAACACAGGAAAAACCGGGGGGGGGGGAGAAGAGTTGGCTCTGAAAGCTTAAATCGCAAATTAGAAATGTCTCAATAACGATTTGACACCTCCCTGTCTTAACTCCTCCACATCCTCTTCCAAATGGCCAGCAAGTCTGCTGATGGAGGATGAGTCAACACGGGATGGTGGGACCGGGCTGAGAACACACTGATATGGGCACAAAGCCCAAACTGTCGTTTCCAAGACAAACACTGAATGTGGGCCAGGCCGAGAGCACGGGGTGGCGAGGAGCAAGGCGGCAGGCCCTGTGAGTGTCCAGGGGCAGGGTCCTGCCAGTCAGTTAACTGCTTCCACAATCGGCAACAACCCTGTGCTTGCTGGTGGCTGGTGGGTAAGGGTCCCCTCCGCAGGCTCCTGACCTACTAGAGACACAGGGACAGGAAGCTCTGTGTCCTCTGTGGTGCACCGGCTGCCCAGTCCTTCATGCCCATGCCCCCCCGGCCACCTGTACTGGCTGGCTGGCACTGGGAGGCCTGTGCTACGCGGCGTCTCCCACTCTCCAGCAGGGTGGCCTCAGCCAGGCCTGACTCTTCGTCACTGATGCGTATCTCAGGGGGCTGGTATGACAGTTAAGCAAGACAGAATATGTAAAGCGACGGCACAGAGCCAGGCACGGAGCCTGCACTCATGAGGCGTTTCCTCCCGCTGGCTCCTGGGTGACTCAAATGAGTGATCGCAGGCGGAGGGGACTGGAAAGTTCCACGGCTGCTACGCGTGTGCGCTGGTTTGATGCAGCCAGCCACTGACAGGTGGGCTTTTCCTAGAGATGGGCCTGGATCCGAGGGACCAGGAGCACGCCGCTGGGGGCCCTGGGGCGACACTCTCCTTTTAGAAATGTGTCCCACCATTTCAAGGGCCTCATCTCTGAAGAAAGACTGATGCAAGCAAATAGCAATCACCTTGCTGTTAGACAAGCCACACAGAACCAAGCCAGACTATTCTAGCCTTTCTCCCATCTCCTTTCAGCACACAGCCACCGAGCCATGAGGACACTAATACAGGGACAAGCCACACAAGAAGGTACAAAGGAGCTGTGCTGTGGCTTGAGGTCACCTGGCTAGTGAGCGAATCGCTCTGGTGACTGCACCAAAGGGCCTCTTCACATCTCTGACACCAGCAGTCTCCCAAAGCTTCAGGAGAATACACCCTCGTGGGGCCATGCACGGGGACAGCTTCTGACCCTCCCTGGGGGAGGTTTTCCTGGTCCCTGGCCCACCTGACCCTTCTCTGGTCACGCACTGCACTTTCTGCACATGCTCTCTGGGTGCACTCTTGACGCTCCTCAGCTTCAAAAGCCACTCGGCACTGGCTTCACAGTCCCATGAGGCTGCAAGGGGCACTGACCCCACACACAGCCCTATGATGCTGCACTGGGCATGAAGCCCACATCCAGCACTGACCCCATGATGCTGTACCAGGTATTGATCTGAACCCAGGATGCTGCACCAGGCAATGACCCCACAACCCTATCATGCTGCACTGGGCACTGGTCCCATGACCCCAGGATGCTGGGGTTTCTGATTTCCCAGCAGGCAGCCAGCTCCTCTTAGCTCATCAGTTCTGGGCATCTGCCGCGCTCAGATATTAGCAGAGTTGTTTGTCCCCACTGGCAAACTACCCAGAAGCTGGCTCGTTGTACTTTCTGATCATGTTCCTTATTTCACAAAATCAAGTGAATCACTGTCTTTTTCGCTCATTACTGGTAAGGCACATTGCCAGCCCCGTTCTGTCCTCTGAGCTTAGTAATGACCAGCTGATCGCCTCGTCCTCATTAATCAACATCTGACAGAAGGTGGGAGCTCCACCGAGGATGAAGATGAGCCTGAGGATTCACTGACATTTCAGAGGGAATAACTTACGATTCCGGGATGGCTGCTTTGGCACCATCCATCTGCATCCTCCTGTTCAACGGGATTCAGTTCAAGTCCACCACATTGCTAGCGAGTGACCGCCTTCCGGAAGGGGTCTGGAGCCCAACCTCACGCCTGTGCGCGTATCTAAAGGTCAGGGTCTCTGGAGGCGGCCTGGACAATGCTGCCTGACAAGACGCCCTAAGACTCAATGAGAAGTGCAGCTCTGAAGAATTAGACACTGGAGCCATTAACTGGTAGAAACACTTGAATGCGATTTTTGAGCCTTGCTTTGAATGGTGGTAGCAGCCTGAGGAAGACTGACTCCTGACACCCTGACATTCTTACAGGGAGCTTGGGGGCTTTGTCTGCAGGGAGCCGTGCTGTCAACCCAAAGGTCAAACTTCTGGACAAAGGGGACTAAGTTTGGGGACAACTGTCAGGGACAACTTGTGGGAGCAGAAAATGTCCAGGACCATGAGCCAGGATTGTTGTTGTTCTTAGGTCCTGTCAAGTCAAGTTAGACTCAGAGTGACCCTATGAACAAAAGATCTGAACCCTGTTCTAGAGCTACCATCGTTCCTCTATTGTTCACAGGGTTTTCAGAGGCCTTGTTATTAAAGAAGTGACTACCAGTCCTACTTCTAAGTCTGTCTTAATCTGGGAGCTCTACCAAACGCTGGCCACCACGGGTAAGCCTATGGCATTTGACACACCACTGGCACAGCTTTCAGTATCACAGCAACCCAAGTTATCTTAGTACAGCAAACTGGCAGACAAGGGCTGTACCACCCAGATTCTCCCCAAACACAATTAACACCAGGCCCTCTGGACCAAACGACCTTTTTCCTTTTTTTTTTCTTCCCCCCAATCAACTTTTAAATACAAAGACCTGCCCACCAGGTTGTGATTGATTTAAAGAAGCAGCTCCCAGACCGCAAGTGACTGTTAACTAAATCCAAAGGACCAATTAGCTTACACTCCATTGTTAAAGAAGTAAAAAACAGCCAAACAGTTTACACCCAACTTTCAATTAAATTAAAAAAACCCTACCCTCCATAATCCAACTGCTTCACACTGGAGTCTCCTACCCTCCATAATCCAACTGCTTCACACTGGAGTCTCCAAACCGGACACTTACTTAGTCAGGGCCTAACTGACTTCTAAATACAAAAGCCTGCCCACCAGGACCTGATAGCTAGGATGTTGTTGTTGTTGTTGTTACGTGCTGTCAAGTAGCTTGCGATTCATAGCGACCCTATGTACAATGGCCCTAAACTCTGCTCTATCCTGTGTCAATCGCACTGTCTCCGATACACCCATCCTGATTACTCCAGTCACTGAGTCAATCCACCTCATAGAGGGCCTTCCCCTCCTGCGCTGTCCCTCCACCCTCCCAAGCATGATGTCCCTCTCCAAGGACTGGTCCCTCCTTACAACATGTCCAAAGTATGTCAGATGAAGCCTCAGAATCCTTGCCTTCAAGGAGCAGCCTGGTTTAACCCTTTCCAGGATGAACCTGTTCGTTTTCTTAGTAGTCCATGGTATACTCAATACTCTTTTCCAGCACCACAGCTCAAAGGCATCAATTCTCCTTCTATCCTCCCTGGTCATTATCCAACTCTCTGATGCATAACAAGTGATTGCAAAGACCATGGCCTGTATCAGATGCACCAGGTTTAAAGTCTAAGTTTTAGCACAGATATTAATTCTGTTCATTTGTGACCAAATCATTTGAGAAGCTGTGCTTTATGAAGAATGTGGCATCAGGGTTTGAGGAAGACTAAACAAGCTGTGTATTTAGATGCTACAACCTTGCTTGCTGATAGAGGACTTGAAACTCTTACAAAAGATGACCAGAGGCAGCCTTCAATATGGTTTATATTTCAACATCAAGAAGACAGAAATCCTTACCACTGGGCCAAAGGTAACATCATGATTGTTGTTGTTGTTATGTGCTGTCAAGTTGACTGCAAATCAAAGTGACCCTTTGTACAACAGCTCTGAATCTTGCTCTACCTTGAGCCAATTTCATTGTCTCTGACACACTTACCCCCATTATTCAAGTCACTGAGACAATCCATCTCATTGAGGATCTTCCCCTCCTGCGCTGTCCCTCCACCCTCCCAAACATAAAGCCCCTCTCTAAGGACCAGCACCCCCTTGCAACATGCCCAAAGTATGTCTGACGGAGCTTCAGAATCCTTGCCTCCAAGGAGCAGCCCAGTATCATCCTATTCAGGATGAACCTGTTCATTCTCTTAGAAGTCCATGGTATATTCAATACTCTTCTCCAGCACCACAGCTCAAAGGTGTCAATTCTCCTCCTATAATCCCTAGTCACTGTCCAGCTTTCTGATGCATAGCACAAAATTGTGAAGACCATGGCATGAATCAGGTGAACCTTAAGTCTCCAGACATTGTTGTTCATCAGTACTCTGGAGAGGTCCCTGATAGCAGACTTAACACTGTTCATCTTTGGATGTCCTGGCTGCTGTCCAAGAGTGTTGACTGATAGCCTGAGAAAAGACTGAAACTGTCCATGACTAACTATCAGCATCCTTGGTGACAGTAATCAAGAAATCAAAAGATGTATTATATCGGAAAAGCCTGTTGTCAGGGACCTCTCCCAAGTATTAAGAAACAATGTTGACAGTTTAAATACTAAGGTGCACCTGATTCTGGCAATAGTTTTTTCAATTATCTGCTTTGCTGGACAATGAATGAGGATGACAGAAGGTGAATCATTGTCTTTGAGTTGGGATGTTGGAGAAGAGCACTGACTATCTCGTGGCCTGCCAAGAGAGCAAACTTGTCTTGGAGAAAGCAAAACCAAGTGTGCTCCTTAAGAGGCAAAGATGGTGAAGCTTTGTCTCACATACTCTGGGGACACTGTTAGGAGAGACCAGTTCTTGGAAAGGGACATCACACTTAGAAAGGTGGAGTGTCAACAAAGGAGAGGAAGATCCTCAGTGAGATGGATGGACACAGTGCTCCAATGGACTCAAACGTGTCAGAGATGAGGGGGCACAGATAGGGCAGGGTTCAGATCCACTCTCCATAGGGTTGCTGAGTCATACTCAACAGCACCTAACCACCACCA